CCCCCGTGCAAAAGCCCAAGTTGTAGCGGTTGAGCGATCATGCATGGACATAATTGTTTCTGTTTCGTCTATTTGATTCAGGCGTGCACAGTATATACTGTACGTTAAACATGTAGTATAATGTATTCAATAAATTTTCCAACCTACAAACAAGAAGTGAATATACATATTCCCAACATTAAAAAGAAAAAAAGCTACATTAAGCATGTCCTAAATACATTTACACTGTGGCCTTTAAAATATAACCAAATAACTAGTTCGGGGATAAATACGCCAAGTTCTTTGGAGATATAACATGCCAAGTTCTCATCGGAGAAATGTCAACTGATCAATTACAGCAGAAATGCGTTTTTGTGGTGGGTTTTCCGGCAATGATATATTTCTAGTCTTTTAGGTTCGCACTTCGGAATTACTTTCGTCCTTTGATAGTTTTTAAAGCCCCTTATAATTCTTATCGCGTTTAAAACCTTCCATTTTTGTGCAAGCACTGTTGCACTTGGAAGTTGAAGTTTAAGAAAAAGTGTTCGACAAAACAGTAGACCCTAAGCTACCAATATTCAAGTTAAATTACCACAAAACGTGCGAAATTATTGAAAGCTGTGTATACTCACAACTTGAACCTACTGTAATTGACTATAAATTATCGTTCTCACACTGCCTCGTAACCTACATAACGAACTACAATAAATGAATGGGGAGATTTTCTAGGCAAATCGTCTGGAACCACATAGCACACGACATAGTCAGGTTCTGCAGATATTTGTGACATGCAGGTTAACTACACAGGCCTATACATCATGAATAAGAACATAAAAAGGAGAATAGCTACCTTGCGGCGGCACCCAAAAGGAATCCCTCGCAAAGAGTCTAAAAACAAGACAAATAACATTTTTCGTTATATGAAATTGATATAAAGTATAAAGACGGATCAAAAATAGATCATTATTAATGATATGACACTCACAAAAAGACCGAGAAGAATGATGTTGTGAGGAAATTTTCTCCTGCAAAAACAATCCATGTGTATACCATTAAAAGAAAGTATATTATTTAAAATGGTAAAAAAAATGAAACTCTATTATTTTTCAACAAAAGGGATGACACATAAAAATGCATAAATAAGTTTTAAATATAAATTTGAGATTGTGGCTTGTTAGACATGAATGGAGTTATTTTTTACCACCATACAATTAAAATCAAGGTAGTAAACACGAATACATGATACCTGTACATGGTCACAACTAGGAACACAATCAATACTAATAGCCAATGTTATTGCACATTTCATATATATATATATATATATATATATATATATATATATATATATATATATATATATATATATATATATATATATATATATATATATATATATATATATATATATATATATATATTAATATGCATGTACTATATTTAAAACACGAACAGGAGTGCTTTATAATAATAATAAATATGCTGTTTGGCACTCTTCAGACAAAAGAGCCTATATTTGAGTCTTTTTTTTATAGAGTCTATATATACTGTCTGACATACTACTTAAGGTCTATATATACTACTGACATAACTCTCGTGTGTACAGTATATACTCTCAATACCTTAGGCTTTCGCAGCATGCAAGAGCAATAATCAGAACAAATGACATCACCCTAAAATATAATAAAATTTAAAAGCCACGAAAGCAGACCTATTTGTATAAACAAAAATACTGTACAAGGCAGATCTGAATTTTAAACAAAACTCACTATAGCAGCAAACCTCTGTGTGGCCTCCACTTTTAAAACGCATGCAGGGTGTTCCAAATAATAATATAGCTTATCTTGTTGACAAGAACGTTTGAAACTGTAATGTATGTAAGTTATTTCACAACTTTTCCTTTTTCTCCAGGTATTTTGAAACTTTGTTTCGAATTTAGATGACTATGTTCAATATATACTCAATAGAACGTTAGAAGTTAAAAGTCACAAAATTACATAAGTTGGCTATAAATTAGGTTGCCTTATATGTTTCATTTATCGTTACAGCCGGTAACTATAACGAGTCGATATTTTGAGTCGATAAAATTAACGTTGATGTCAACATTGTTTTCTAAGACCTCGATTAGCCAGGCGGAAATCGTAATCTTAAGTTAAGATAAATATTAATGCCCGGCATAAAAATACATAAAAGAGCCATAACAAAAATATAGTTTAAAATATTTATTAGAAAGCTAACGTTTCGTCTTTAACTTAAGACATGAAGATGTCTTAAGTTAAAGACGAAACGTTAGCTTTCTAATAAATATTTTAAACTATATTTTTGTTATGGCTCTTTTACGTATTTTATGCTGGGCATTACTATTTATCTTAAGACCTCGATTAGCGTCTCCTCCAACTTGTACTCTTTTTCGTTCCCAAATCTTCCCAGTTATATTGTTCAACATGTGCAAAAGTGGAAAGTTAATTACTGTGTCTTGTGTTTATATTTTTCTTGTATGCATTACCAAACATTTTTGACAAAAATAACGTCCAACTTTTGAAAAAAAAAATAGCTCACTAATTCAATTAATATGGTGCGGTGCGCACACAGTAAAAGCATAGATTAAGGAATGAATAGATGGCTCACTCCTTTGATGTTTTTGACGCTGCCGGCGCCCACGCATGTTCTTGCCAGAGTAATGGCGGCCTAGCAAGTAACTGTAGTAAAATGCATTGTAAAATTGACATCGGTGCTACTAAATTCTGTATTTTTATAATTCTGATTTATCTTTCCATTAAACCCCCCAAAAGAGGAAAAATACAGGATTTAATAGCACCGATGTCAATTTTACAATGCATTTTACTACAGTTACTTGCTAGGCCGCCATTACTCTGGCAAGAACATGCGTGGGCGCCGGCAGCGTCAAAAACATCAAAGGAGTGAGCCATCTATTCATTCCTTAATCTATGGTAAAAGCTTAAATTGTCATTTGCCACACTCTTGCTGCGAATAAAAGTAACTGTTGGATGACTTGAAATGTTACTTACATGCAACATATTTTTCCAATTGCAATTTAATTAAGCGTATTTGTTGTATATACAATTATAACTAGGGCTTTAGATAGGTAGACTACGTAGCTAGCGGTTTTAAGGGGTTGGAGTTGTGGCGCGAGCAGCAACATAGGGAGGTTACCTAACTCTTCCACAGTCCCGTGAATTTTCTTCGCAAAAAATAAGATAATGCAGGTGCAAATTAGCAGGCATCTGAGGGTTGGAACAATAGGACACAAAGGCCCATGGGAATGCTCTAACTAAAAACTGATACATTCCCATCATTCAATGCGGGATGAACGATTTTGTTACATTTTGTATAACGCTGTCCCTTTAATCGACTTACTTTGGTTATTGAAAAATTATTTCCTCCTACTTTTCTTCTGTAATCTTTCTTAGGCAAATTACAAAGGACAGCATACTTCGTTATGCGAAAAAGTACTGTTTTTAAATCCGTTTTTGAAAAAACCCACAACAAATTGACGTATTGAATGCGTACTATAGTCTATATCGCGTGGAAATGGCGTGGAGGGCTGACGCCATTGCTGACGCGTTGCTCATGCGAGGCTTCACTTTATCGTTCCAAGTAAAATAAAATAAATTGAGTTCACTGGGGACGAGTCAAGGAGGCTACTTTCAATCTAAACATTTGGCTTAAAAATTGGTTTTGTTGAGCGCTACTTGCTTCTTGACCGCCACATTGGTTTCCAATCGCGTCGAACTATCTGTACACGAATATCGCCGCCAAAAATTCAAATGGTTGCTGAAATAACGTCGTCTTCTAGCCACAATTCATGCATGGAATAGCATGTAAAAATGTAGTTTCAATCATGACATTTGAAAATGTGCTGACGTCAACATTTGTATATGGATAACTATCTAGCGAAGATTTAGGCAGCCAGCTTTGTAGTTTAATTAGTTTAGATCCGGGTTGGTACACCTTCTCCCATTTAAAATTCCATGACTTCCCATGACCATTTTTTTCAAAATCCATGACCTGGAAGTCTGGAATTTCTGAAATTCGTTAATATTTTAACGATAACAAATAATAAAAGAACAAAATTCACTTCCCTCTTGCAAAAATTCGTTATATAACAACAATTAATAATATTGTTATGACTGGTAAATTGAAATACGTAAAATACTTTGTTAATGACATGTAAAAATTCAATTTTCCATGGCTTTCCATGACTAAAATGGATTTTCCAGGTTTCCAGGTCATGGATTTTGGAATATTGAAATTCCATGACTTTCCAGGTTTTCCAGGACCCGTACGAACTCTGTTAGATGTTCTATTCGGGATTATTCAGCCTTAATTTACTCTTTTTACCCTATATTATAAAGTCATAGATTCATGTCAACATTAAAAGGTTAAGGAATTATTCAAAATGAGAATTGATCCAAGTCAGATCATTCCATTTTGTTGCCAGTGTAGGCCATACTTACACTGCAGCAATGAACAGTCCAACGTGATCCTCGGCATATTCTTTCACTGGGTCACTTTAACATTAAAGAATAAAGAAAAATACAAATGACGCGTAATAATGTAGTTGTTAAACAAACTGTCAATTTTCTATGAAGAAAATCTAACAAATCAGTTACGTTTCTTTATATATTCCTTGTGGTTTTAGTGCAAATCCTGTATTTGGTTGAAAGAGATATTGTCTATTGAGCATGAAAAGAAATTTCTTGTAGTCATGTGACCAGTCACGTAATTGCTAGTTATTCCAAAACAGTGCGAGGCTAAAAATAAAAATTCCCATATTTCTTACTTAAAACACCATAATAATATACAAATTGTATGGTATTATATTTGAAGTTGTAGCCTGCGAACAGGCTCTCATGCTGAATTGAGAGCCTGCATCGATGACTAATGAATTTGAATATCTGCGTCTCAAATCGTGACGCGAAATTCTCGTTGGTCAGATGCTATAATTTATATGTTTCCGCTGAGCTCTATATATGTCAACTGCTGAAGCACTATGCATAAAAAACACATTAACTGCTCAAATTGGTCTTGGCCGTCTTATCTCAAAGCACGAAATGTTCTGTTTTGAGAAAACAGTATTTAAAACATTTGAACTTTTGCTTGAATATCTTATATTTCGAAAAACTGTATAAACTGTACGGTCTAAATTTAGTTTGCACGGTCTAAATTTAGTTTGCACGAAAGTTGTAAACAACACCATATAAGGATAGACATTCCATATTTGGAAAAACGAACGTTACGGGGCAGATATTCAAATTCATTAGTCATCGATGCAGGCTCTCAATTCAGCATGAGAGCCTGTTCGCAGGCTATTTGAAGTTGTGACTTGTTAGACATGGAGTTAATTTTACACAATATATTGTATCTGTTTTCAAGGTTATTTTAATTTTAAGTGCTTTCATTCTGGTAGTTGTGATCATCATCAAGGGGCCATTAATAAACGAAGTCGAGTATGTGATGGATATATTATATTAATTAGGCTTTTGCAGAAACGAATTATGAATTTTAACTTTATTATTTTATGGTAATGTTATTACCACTGACAGTATCAAAACAATAATACTGTGCTATATTATGAGTTGAAGAATTTAAATTACCTACCAATACAAGAAAAATGCAATAAATGCCACCGTTACAACAAGTTGACACATGAGAATTGAATACACCTACACGTTTTAAAGATAAAAGAGACGTGACTTCACATCCTTCCCCCAAAATATTGTACAGCAGAGATATCTGCAGCAGAATAGAATAGTGAAGTGCATGTCATTAAGGTATCAGTTGCCATTAAAAATTTTAAAAAATTAAGGACATACCTTTCTGATGAAGCCTGTTAAGTTAAAACAGAAAATGTCATATTTAAAAATTAAGGCAGTGGCCAAAACTCTTTTGAAAACATCTATACTTCAAATGTATGTGAATAGGACTGGGGGAAGATAGCTAGACAGAAGACCCACGCAGTAACATGTTATGGACGGACCATTAGAAAAGTGTGTGTGGGGAGGTTGGAGTTTCTGTCTACATGGACTTTTTATGGTTCACTTGGTGTACATACAAGAAAAACTTCTTTCGTATTGTGATATTATTAATAATAATTTTTTTCCTGCCATATCTTTTGGCTGTTAATTTTTTCAGAAAGCTTCATCTTGTATGGATTTTATTCTGTCCTTTCCCCCACCACCACTCCCACCTTCACTTTTCTAATCTTCAGTCCCTTACTACAAGGGCTACATCAAGTAAACAATTATATGACCGGAGAAAAGTGTTACTAAAACCACATTCAGAGCACTCTTATATACCCAGCTGTGCTACATGCATCTAGCTGTTAAGAGATGGCAATGTGACATTTGTAGATACATTTACTTTCATCAACTATTCAGTTCTACTATAGCTAGTTGTTACTGGTGCTTGAAGCATCTCAGCTAGTTGTCCTTTAAAAGGACAACAAAAATGTATTAAAAAGACATTAGAAACACTCCCAACACTGCTTTGTTGTCAGTGAAACACAAGGAACTTTGCAGGAAACTTCATGTGGGAGGGAGATGATGCATGATTAATGTCTCCGACATGCGGGAGTCTCCTGCCAAATTAATGTGGGGGACTTGATTGGTATAAATTATCAATTATACAAGGCCAAATTTAGCAAATATAAATTTAATCCATTGAGTAAAACAATAAAGTAGGGCACAATGCAACTTAAGGGTTAATATACACCTTGCATAGGATTTAATTAAATTCTCTTGGTGAAATAACTGTCATGTGCAAGAACTGTCTTATCAAGGTCAGAACTCTGGCTTATTTAAAAACAGTACTAAGTTATATTTTCTTTTATTATATAAGTACTGAGATTTATTCATTAAAATGACATTGCGTAATAATCGTACGGAATTTTGCCACAGCCAATCAGCGACGCGAACGATAAAATTTCACGAGTGAAACAACATCGTTCGCACCATCTGATTGGACGAACGATGTTTTTTCACTAGTGAAAAATGATCGTACTGAAAAATACGTTTGTTTTCCACCACAAACTTTTTGGCATGAAACCTATTTCAATTTGAAAATCATAATTAATGGCTGTGTGATTTACGGACGCCGTTTCTGTTGACAGTTTTATTTCAGAACAAGAAAATAAAGCTAGTATACCTCACAAAAAGCCGAACGAGATGTAAAACTATTACTGTATTACACATGTTTTTGGAAACCAAGAATGCATGAAGAAAGAAAAATGGAAGATATTCTGACAGCAGAACTGAACGAGTATGTACGTGTCTGACTGAGTTTATCAATTTGGTCAGAACCAAAGACGGGAAAAATATACGAGCCATTTTTTCTCCGAAGTCTATTGTATTAGCAATCTTCGAGCGACATCTTAAGAAAAAAACTACCCGGTTGCAAGCATTATTATCAACGATTGAGCATTTAGGAAGACAAAAAACTTTGAAAACTAATATTAAAACTTTAATAACGTTTTAACAACATTAAAACTTTGTCATCGTGAATGAAATCTCAGTATTTATATAATAAACAAATCACATCATGGTTGGTTCGCAAATACTCGTTCGCTGCACTCACTCGTTCACTTGTAATAATCCACTCGTGAATAAAAACCGTACACGCTCACCAACCATGAAGTAATCTCTATATCTGTTGAATTTTTCCCAGTGTTCAAGCTAGTCATATTCTGTCTCTTGAAAAAGCTGTGTTACTGTTACTAGGGGTGTGCAAATCCAATCCGAAACCGATCGGATACGTTCGGATTTCGGAACAAAAATATACAATTTGGATCGGATTGATAAAGTTGTTTTGTAGTCGGATCGGACTTCGATATTTGAAATAAAATGAATTAATTATCCACGCATTATTGCAAGAATTAATTATCCATGCATTTATCAAAGCATTATCGCGGTTGTCACTGCATTTTTCGTTTGATACTTCAATTGGATGTCACTTTGTCGGCTTCTTGACATGTATTTCTTGTTTTTATATTTATTTGGTTAATTAAACATTTCAACTTGAATGAGAAATTTATTTTGTTAAAGGATTCTTCGGATCGGATTGAAATTCTTTATCACAACTCAGATCGGATTCGAATTAGACAATTTCGGATAGGATTTTTAACATTAGTCAATTGTCGGATTATAAACGTCCAATCCGATCCGATGCACACCTCTAACTGTTACTATGAATTCTGACAATTGATTGGTCGAAGAGATTAATCCTGCAATGCACAGATGACCAATGCTGTGAAGGTGCTGTAAATTAATGCATTTAAGACCAGCCAGGCTTGTCATTCCATTGCTTGCAAAATATTCAAGGTGGTTTGCCATTTGGCCTTCTATGTTCAACAGGGGGCATTTATTTATTCCATATGCACTCCGTGCCATAGATCTCTGGAGCAAGGTTACAAAATTTGTTGGCATGAGATTACTCACAGTTGTTTACAGTCTTATTAAAAGCACACAGGATATCACAGTGACTGTCTATTTTGACATTGGGTATTTGGGTAAAAGTAGATTTTTTAAAAATACATTGACATGGTCAAGGGCAAATGTTTGCATATTTCCGGCATAGAGTTCACATAGAATGCATCCTGGTATATTGATGATATAAATGCATGTTATCATACAACAAGTTCACATTTCGATAAGCCACAGGATAAACTCAGTCATGAGCTCATGGCGATCGTATATGATAATCAGTATGCATTTCAAACACCTAATCTACATTTGAATCATTCTTGTTTCACTTTTGTTTACAGTGATAAAAAATATATAATCATTTCTTAATTGATCAATAACGAATAAAAATGAAAGCACATGAAACTCAACACTGCCCAGACTGATACAAAGTCAAAATAAAAGTCATATAAAGTACATAAACACGAAATTATGTACTGTGTCTAGTGTGTAATTTGTGTATGTACGGTACCTGCACGAATAGACCTTTCAGTGAAGGCTCCAGCCGTGTCGAAATCGCTGCCTTCATCTATATTACCGTAATGATAAGGCTGTGTACCAAACGGCTCTGAAGGTGGAGGCTGTTGTGGCGGTTGTTGCGAATAAGGTTGAGCGTTATAAGGATCGCTTGAATAACCCTGAGGTGGATACGGCTGTGTACTATAAGGTTGCTGTGAATGTGGCGGTTGTTGTTGATAGGATTCATTTGTAGGTGCGTAAGGAGGCGGTGGTGCACTAGGATATTCACTCGACATTGTCAGATTCTGCGATAAGTTCGTAGAACAGGAAAGAAATATGTTTTTAAACAACAGCAACTACAACATTTCTTCGACAGCAGAGTAAATATTTCGAGTAAATTATTTATGCTTCATGAATTAAGGCTTGGTTACACAGCTGACGATTCCTTGGAACCAGCAATGAAATTCCTTAGTTATCCTAAAATAATTTAGAAAGTAACGAAATTCGGCAAATCTATCACAAATTAAGAAAATTCATGCAAATGTATCACAAAATTTGTTCAATTCAGGGCAATTGATTACAATATTACACATTGTTTTTCACATTGCTCGGTTTCCTTTGTTCTTATCGGGGAATATAGTCAATATTCCCCTCTATAAATCAATTCCCCTCTATAAATCAATTCCCTCTAATATTCAAGATGCGGTAAAGTCCGATCTGCGCATGTGCACAAAGGAGCCCTCTTTTTATTTACAAACAGTTTATTTAGGTTTTTATTTCACTTTATGTTCTTGCAAAGCTTGATTGTTGTCTCTTGATAATTTATTATACTCTAGAATCATGAAAATATTAATAGTTGTCGTATAAAATTCAATATTTTGGATACCCAAATGTAAACAAAGCCTTTGTTTACATACGGACTGTACCGCATCTTGCACTCCTCTAAAAATCCACTCTAATATTCTGTAATGTCTTTGCAGCACAAAAAAGGAGAAATAAACAGCATCACGAAGGCAATAAGGCATTAAGAATTCTTTCTATTCTGACTCATTAACGCAACCTCGCAATGTGCAAAATAAGTACGTTATTTTGAGGTATCTCGGGCTTGCGCGCCTTGGTGAACGAGATTCCCTCAAAATAACCTATACAAATTAAATATTCGGGCAACTTTCAAGTCCCCCCCCCCCCACCCCGAAAGTTCAGGTGGGTTCAGGCACAGAATTCAGGTCTGTACGTGTATGAGTAAAGTCATGGGCGTACCGGAAGGAAAAAATTAGGGGGGCGGAAAGAAAATTGCCGTACTTTTCGGGATTCTGCCCGACTAGTACCAAAATTTTTTTCCGGAAAAATTATTTTGGCGACCTTCCCCCCCCCCTCCCCGTCGCCAAAAAAATTTCGGTCAGTGTACCACTTTAGGGGTCAAAAAAATTTTCCGGACAACCAATATTTTTCGGAACATGACACAAATTTTCGAAATATAACAAAATTTGCCAAAAAATTGACTTCATTTTGGACAAAATTTTCAGAATTTGTCCCATTTTTTTTATTGCAAACCAAAATTGCCCGACTGTTGATCGAATATTGCCCGACTGCCCAAAAAACTGGGGGGGCTACCGCCCCCCCGCCCGGTACGCCTATGAGTAAAGTGCTTGAAAAGCTACAAAACTACGGAAATGGTCTCCATGGGCGTACGGGAAGGAAAAATTAGGGGGGGGGGGGGGGGG